CCTCTCTCGACCTCTCTCTCTCGACCTCTCTCTCTCTCTCTCCGTCTCTCTCTGTCTCTGTCTCTCTGTCTCTCCGTCTCTCTCCCTCCCCCCTCCCAGGCAACGTCTTTACCGCGCGCTGATTAAGAAAAAAGAGGAGGGCAGGGGGATGGCAGATGGGCCAGAGGGAGAAGTGGCGAGGGAATGCCGAAGGAGACGTGGCATAGGAATCCCTAGGGGTGGGCGGCGGAGGAGAGGAGGGGAGGGGACCGGCGGGCGGAGGCGGAGGCGAGGTGTCCCCCGAGTGGAGAAGAGGTAGGCGGAGGAGGGGAGGAGATGGTAGGCGATGGCGAAGGGGAGGTGCAGGAGGCGGGGAGGATATGGTGGGAGGAGGCGGAGGGGAGGTGGGCAGAGGCGGAGGCGAGGTGGGGGCCGGGCGGAGAAGAGGTGGGAAGAGTCAGGGAGGAGATGGTGAGTGGTGGCAGAGGAGAGATGGCTGGAGGAGGCGTAAGGGAGGTGGGCGGAGGCGGGAGGGGGAGGTGGCAGCGAAGTCGAGGTGGGCCGGCAGGAGGGCCATCGGAACTCGAGTACGGCGAGGGCGCCGCCCTGCAACAGGCCAATGCCCAACAGGTGCCGGGTGCCGGGCGTGAGGCCCGACGTTTCTTTCACTACGGGCCGGTACAGGTCCAACGGGGGTGACAATCCAGGCCATCCACGGTCCGACAGACCCGACGGTTCCAATCGTCGCCGACGATCTGAGCCATTAGCTCAGTAGGACCACAGGCAAGCGATCTTAAGACTTTAAGATCGCGTGCAATCCGGTCTGTTGGGCTGCTAGGACTGCGGAGGGCCCGGATTGCCCAATTCTCACGTTAGCAATTTCTACAAGTGTAGGGATCTGGTCAGAAAGTTGCATCTAAGAACACACAGCTAAGGAAACCCGCACAATGGATAAGGGGATCGAGAGCAGCTCTCTCCACAGAATCTTAAGCACAAAAGAAGACATAATGACAAGAGGGGATGAATTTGGCTCACAGTCGCACTCACCAGACCTATTCCTGTCATGTAATACAGCCCTGGAATGAGGTTAGCATGTACCACCTGCAAAAGAAAAAGAAAAGAAAAAAAAAAGCATCAATCAGTGCAATTACCAGAGATGAATTGTGAAAGAAAGGACAAAAAAAGGATCTCAGCGGGCTTATTCCTTCAACCCTTCCTCTATGCACACATAACAGAAAATTTCAAGCCAAAGTGCACGTGAGGTAGAAAGGGAGGGTTGGGATTTTGTGACCGGGGGGCAAGAATGCGTGAGATAAAAGAAGTCCTCGAAGACGAGCTTGTGGAGGGTTCAAACGGCACAAGAGGGACAGTAAGGAGAAGAACTGGGAATTTTCAATGCCTTGGCTAGAATTACTGTGGAGCTCTGTGACAGTTAGCGAGAATGTGTGCGTGCATGTGTGCGCATGTGAGTGTGCCAGAGAGCTATGTAAGGAGGAGGGAGGGAGCTAAACAGGGAAGAGAGCCGGAGGGGGGCGGGGGGGGAGAGCGAGAGAGCAAGAGAGTGAGAGAGCGAGTGAGCGAGAGAGCAAGAGAGCAAGAGAGCGAGAGAGCAAGATACTCAGAGAGAGACACAGAGAGAGAGTGAAAGACAGAGAGAGACAGGGAGAGAGAGAGAGACAGAGAGAGAGAGGCAGACAGACAGAGAGAGACAGAGAGAGAGAGAGAGAGAGAGAGAGAGAGAGAGAGAGAGAGAGAGAGAGAGAGAGAGAGAGAGAGAGAGAGAGAGGGATGTCATGGACAAGCAAGCACGTGAAAACTTGGTAACCAGCCGCTGCAGTGAAAGATGACAACCGGCAAAACTCCCTGCATTGCATTGTGCATCGCATTGCATTGCATTGCGCATTACATTGCATTCCGCATTGCATTGCGCATTGCATTGCATGCATTTGAGAATGTGCACACATATCTTTCAGTTAAACCACCACTCCATCTGGACCTATTTTGACAAACCAAAGGTTGCATTTCCCCCAGCTTAGAATTTACAGTGCCACCATGAGGAAAAATAATTATGGTTACCCCCCCCCGCCCCCCACCCGCCCCCTCTCGAACCTCTACTGAGCCTGGGCACTGAAGAGTTTGACCTGGTACTTGTAGACAAGAAAAATGAACAGTGCAGGCGCCGTTGGAGTGGTGGTTTAAGGTAGCATGAGCGACAAACAGGCAGACGAGGATGCAAGACAAAGATTCCCAAAATGTGCGGTGAGAGAGACGATAAGCAATGGAATGTGCAAGGACGGATGAGGGGGATGGGGATCATGGGACCAGCAGCCAGGATGGAAAGTGTCATTTGCTTTGCTTGATAACAGACCTCCATGTTAATAATTGGAAGAATGACGTACTCTCCACCATACGAAATTGAACTCATGCGGAGGAAGATGTCCATAATGCGGATCACTGCCACAAAGAAACAAACATCAGCACACAGACAAGCTTCAGCAAGCACACTCGGACGCAGCTGACTCAGTAGAAGTGCAACAGCAGCCTTTTTTTTTCTTTTTTTTTAACCACCACTACCTCCGATCCTGTTTTTGCGGATCCTGATTTTCACTGCGCACCGAGTTCTGCCGAGCCTGGGTGCCATCGTATTTTCTTTTCTGGTACTCACGGCAGCTACTTCGAAAAGAAGCAAAAAAAAGAAAAGAAAAGAAAAAAAACAACAGAAACTTCCGTTGTAGCCATCAGAATCGATCAGATACATTCTATGAGGCACGGGCGAGACTGTCCCTAGGCATATCAAATGAAGAACAAAAAAATAAAAAACTTCCCTTATGCTGTGATCGCAGTCTGATACAGAACGTCACAGCGCTGATGTTAGTATGTCATGAGTGAGGCAGTTACCTGCCCCCCCTGCGAATCCTCCCCGCCTCACTGGCAGGGCACAAGAAAGAAACGAAAAAAAGGAAAAAAAGAAGTGGAAACAGCAGAAATCATGTTCCCCACATACTAGCCAGATACATTCCTCAAAGCACTGGTATCACTTCCATCTCCGTGGGTGCCTTCCCCTATGAAGGCAAATGAAGAAAAAAGGAAAAACAGAAACTTCCCTTGTGCTGCTACCACGGTCCAATACAGAACGCCACAGTGTTGATGTTAGTATGTCGTGAGCGAGGCGGTTACCTGGCCCCCGTGGAAACCGCCCTGCCTCGCTGGCAGGGCATGAAAAAAACAAGAGAACAACTTGAACAAGCAAAAAAAAAAAACGAAAACAAAAGAAATCACCATGGCTACGATCCGGACTTCCGGACCGCCGTGCAGACGGTCTGGATTCAGTCCGGACTCCAGACGTCCGGTCTGGAAGGTCCGGATCTGCCGAAATTCGAGAAAAAAAAAACAAAAAAAAACAGTCCAGGACCCTTCCCCATTGAGGAGCCAAGCCCCCAAAATTGTTTTGGGGGGGGGTTCAGGCCCGTGTATGCTTTTTTGGGGGGTCCAGACATGCTCTCTCTCTATAGTAATTTATTAGACAACCCCAATTTTTTAATTATTAATAATTCATTACTTTTTATTACTTTTTAAAGTCTTTTTTATAGTTTTTGACTTGTAACTCAAGTTTGGTTAGGAATTCTGACATGACTCTGAGGCAAAAGTGGTTTGCATTGTTATTCTGCATAGCATACTTTTTTTTCAGATTTTTTTTTTTTTTTAATGGTCCGGACATTTCCGGACGTGTCCAGACGTCTGGACCGTCCGGATTCCCCCATGTCCGGAGGTCAGGAAATGTCCGGAAATGTCCGGAATTCCGGACGTCCAGAAACTACCGGACACGGGTCCGGTTCCATGTCCAGAAATGTCCGGGTCCGCGTCCGGCGTAGCCATGGAAATCACGTTCCTCGCATTCTGGCTAGATGCACTCCTCAAAGCACTGGTGTGACTTCCACCTTCGTGAGGGGACGTCACTGGATTCAACGTTCTTGGTTTTTTTGTTTTTTTTTCCCAAAATGAGGAACCGCGGGGTCCCAATCTTTTCTTTTTCTTTTGTTTCCCACCGACCGTACACTGGACCCCCGAACTTTGCGGTTGAGGTCATTTTCCCAAATGGGACTACAGCTCGGAAAGGTAGTGGAGGTTTAACAAGTTACAAAGAGACTATGGTAGTGTTATGTACCCGATTGAACTTCAATCCACAACGAATTCACAGGTTCCCATACACGCATGAAATTGCAGAGTAGACTCAAAGGAGGCAAATCCACACAAAACCAGAGAGAAGATATGCACAGCGGAAGCTCAAAACACACAGAGAATTGAAAAACGAATTTCAATTCTGCATTCCCTCGCACTCCTCCAATCAATCCAGAGTACTTGTTCCAAGAATCACAACCGCGTTACAACAACCCCGAACAATCAGAAACAAGCATTCAACGAAATATACAGGAGTCTTCTTCTTCCTCCTCACCACCTCATATCCCAGGCTATGGCTGCCGTAGCAGCAGTAACCCCACAGCTGTCACAACGTGCCAATCTGAACCAGCAGCCCTAAGTCCTGATGAAGAAGGAGACAACCATTCCAACACTTTGAAGAAGATAGAGTTCCTCGTGAGGAGGAACAGCAGATATGGCCGCCAAGTGGAAAGTGGCAGCGCCCAAACCCAACAACACAGTCCTGTGGAAGCTCTCATGCAAACCTGCGAAACAGCAGCAGTGCAGTCTTCAACGTCCTTTCTCAACCCCAGCTATGGCTGGGCTTCGAAGAAGAAGATGACCTCGCCCAAAGTAGCGCAGCAGCGCTCCAACAACGGACGGGCAGAGTTTTCCCAGTCAACGAAAATGCAAAAGACCCGCACTATTTTTGCTACCCACTACTTCTACTCTCCGCCTAGACCTACCAGGGCCTTCCCAAAGCAACAACCTACGACCTATCTGTATCTAGATGGAAACAGGGGAAGAGGGGCCTAGACCTATGACAAAGCAAAAGAAACAGGCCGAATGGCCTAGGACTACCAAACAGAGACTTCTAGTGACAGACGCAGGGTTCAAGCCCCATAGGGCACGACACTCGCAAACAAAACACACAGGTTACAGGTCACGGGATCAAGCCCCGCAAGGTTCAAAACACACAAACAACAAACAAACAGGCAATACAACAACCAAGGTTGCGGGATCAAATCCCGACAATGACGACAGGGACAAAATTAATATACAGCCCGCTTGTAGCACTGCAATTCATTGCATTCCTACCCTCCCGGGGAGCAAGGACCCCAAGCTAGGAGTGTCCACGAGGAGACCGTCTGGGCAATTTCCCAGTTTGCTCAGCCTCGTAGAACCGCACGACTGAATTTGCAGACTTGAGAAGTTCCTTTCTTGTAAACCAACGGTCCTCAGTATGAGGTTGGAAAAGGAACTTGACAAGATACTCACAGTTGGGGCCTGTGCCCCACTGATCTTCAATGGTCTCGACTTCATATCCCTTTCCAAGGATAGGAGGCCCGAACTGTTGTGGCCGATCAGGGAATGCATCAGCAAGACTGAAAGGCAACAGTTTTGAAGCATGGAAGACAGGATGGGTCCGGATGTGTGGGGGTACAGCGAGGACATAAGAGGTTTCAAACGGATCTGCCCCTACACTATCAAGAACCTGCCATGGTCTGTAATAGACAGGCAACAACTTTCGTGAGATGTCCTGTTCATCTGTTAGTTCTGAACGTTTTACCCAAACCCAGTGCCCAAGACGGATAGGAGAAGGCTGTCTGTGTTTACTAGCCTGTTCAATCATTCTTTTCTGTGATTTGAACATGTTAGCTCTGGCGTTCTCTAAATCCTTTTCATAGTTCCGGGCAAATTCAGCAGTGCCAGAGGTCAATTTGGGCTTTAGCCTTATCGAAAATGCTGTCGAGAGGTTGTCTCGCGTCTCTACCCCAGTGCAATCTGTGGGGGGTGAAACCAGTCGTACTATGAACATAAGCATTGTACATGAGTTGTGCCCTGGACAGATGTTTGTCCCAATCCTGTTGATCGTCTGTGATCACAGGGCGCAGCAGCTGAAACAAGATCTGGTTCATCACTTCACCCTGTCCATTGGCTTCCGGATGTCTACCAGATGTCATGCTTAACCTGGAGTGGAGATAATCCTGACAGAAGGATCGCCACTCATCGCTGCAAAAGTGTGGGTCTCTGTCACTAACAATGGAGGTTGGGTGTCCATGGACATTCACCCACCTCTCAGCGAATACCTCTCTGACAAGAGGCACTCTAGCCTCAGCAGGCAGTGGGATAAACTTTGCATACTTAGAGAACCGGTCTACACATACCATTACTTGTCTCACCCCTCGAGGGGTGGTCTTGCCTAAGTCAGTAAAGTCTACAGAAACAGACTCACCTGGACCTTCAGGGATTGGTAAAGGTTTGAGCAGGCCCATAGGAGGTCGTCTGTGGACCTTGTTCCTTTGGCATAGCTCACATGTCTCTATCCCCCTATTTCCCCGAACCTCCCACCCACCCCCCCCCTATCTCACCTGGACTTTCAGGGATTGGTAAAGGTTTGAGCAGGCCCATAGGAGGTCGTCTGTGGACCTTGTTCCTTTGGCATAGCTCACGTGTCTCTATCCCCC